AAAAATAAATCAGAGCTAAAAAAGTGCAAAAACGCAGGCAAATTTGCCTGCATTCTACTACAATCTAAGGGATATGTCCGATCATTTTTGGCTAATTGGATATACAGATTTTTGTGAAATAACATGCAGGGCATTATTTTACGAAAATACAGAATAAATTTTAGTTTTTCAAGGAAATTCTAAAAGACAGATTCCTGAAAGGACATAATACTGACAAAGTTGTATTAGTTATCATACTGATCAACTTTATCGATATTATGTCTTTTTGAGAATCTGTCTTTTGGATTTTCTGATAAACCTTAAATTTTATGTACCATTGCCCAATTGTGTAATTTTTATTATATTTAAAAATGACTAATTGCTAACACTGGGTTTAATGTTGATATAGAGAATCAGAATAGTAAGTAGAGGATATTTTCGAATAATAAGCCAAATTTTAGCATCAATTAAGCTGTAGCAATAATTATACAAACTCTTTTATATCTACACCAGATTCGAATTGCCTAAGAACAAATTCACAATATTGACGCTTATATTTTGACTTGAATGATTGGATTATACCAGGCAAAAGGTAATGCAAAGTAATATTGAAAAGCTTTAGAGTTTTGGAGGTCTTTTTTTTGAATGAAAAATTAGCATAAGTTCCTTGTGCCCTCTCTCTTGGTCTTCCTCTTCCTCTTGGCCTTCCTTTTGGTCTTCCTCTTGGCCTTCCTCTTGGCCTTCCTCTCGCACTTCTACGTACATTTCACGTGCACCTTCACGTGCATTTCCACGTGCATCTCTGCATGCATCTTCACATGCACCTCTGTGTATACTTCCACATGGCTCTTGTTCATCATCAGCTCTATCATCAGAATTTAATAGATTACTATCATCATCAACATTATTGATACTATTCTCTTCATTTGTATTATTAGGTACTTTAGAAGGGATATGTATCATTTCACCAACAAACACTTCACCGACAACTTAGTTCACTGACAATTAATTCACTGACAAGTTCATTTCACCGACAATTAATTCACCAACAAATCATTTCACTGACAAGTTTTTTTTATAAATTACACTAACCTTAACTCTAATTTAGCCTGACCTTAACAACAATGACCAGAATTACTTTGTCTGTAAAATGAGCTGTCGGTGAATTAATTGTCGGTGAAATGAACTTGTCGGTGAAATGAACTTGTCAGTGAATTAATTGTCAGTGAACTAAGTTGTTGGTGAAGTGATTGTCGGTGAAATAAGCACCACCCCTTTAGGAGAACTATATGATGATGCATTATCTGTCAAAAGTAAAATTTTTCTATTTTGAATGCAAAAATCCGAATTAATAAACCGTAACCATTTTTTCCAAATATTCGATCTCATTCATGCCCATTCATTATTTTCATAAGTGACTAGAAGTTGTGATAGTTTTATATTATTAAAACTTCGTAGTTTTTTTGAACAACCGATAACAAGAGGTTAAAGCTTATCTGAACTAGTTGCATTTGTGGCTAATAATACCGTAAGTCATGACTTATCCTATATATCAATAATATAAATAAAGATTAATATTAAATTTTTATATGATAACAATAGATAGTGACATTTAACATTTCAATACTAGGGCTAAAAAAAAATTATTTTACTCATTTTGAACTAGCAATGACTTTCTTTGCTAATGTTTGATGTGGTAATATTCTGTAAAACAATCCTGTTTTGTCAGCGTTATATATATCCTTCAATTTATATTGTGAAAGGAGGTTTTGAAGCTTTATTCTTTCATCTAATAGGGATTCCAAAGGTGCGCTTGCAGCTTCATCATGGAGTTTATACCAATGTAAGGAATTTCTTTTTTTATAATTCATAATCTACCCATTAGAGAATTTTAATTCATTTTCAGACATTCCAAGTAGTCTTCCAAACTCTCAGCCTTTTGTTTTTACTAACTCATCTGTAAGAATTAAACCAGCTGCTGAGACTTGGCCTATCCAAATATTCATTGCTCTTTCAATTAAAGGATATTTGGGTGGTCTGTTTTTATAACGATTATTTGCTGCATTATTTT